TTGTTTTCTGCCTGTGTGTGTAGTTCTGTTCTTTTTCTCTCTTTGTGGTTTTATGATGTTTTAAAATAGTATGTTAGATTCCTTTCTCATTTTCTTTGTGTATTTACTGTAAGTTTTGGTTTGTGGTAACTGTGATATTCACAGACATCATCCTATTTATCTAATAACATTTTAATTTGGTAGCAACTAATGGTTGAACACATTTGAAAAGAACATTTTTACTCCCCTCCCTAGTTTCATGTTTTTTTTTTTTTTTTTTGAGAGCAGGAACACATGTGCATGCAACAGGGGCTTGGGGGAGGGAGAGAATCTCCAGCAGACTCCTTGCTGAGTGCAGAGCCCAATGCAGGGCTTGACACGGGGCTCGATCTCACAACCCTGAGATCATAACCCAAGCCGAGACCAAGAGTTGGGTGCTTAACCTACTGAGCCACCCAGGTGACTCCCTAGTTTCATGTTTCTTATATCACTTTTTACATCTTTTTTTAAAATGTATATATCAGCTAATTATTACGGTTTTAATTTTGTGAGTTTTACCTTTTAACCTTCTTAGTACCTTTATAACTGATTAATTCATTGTCTTTACTATGTATTTAGCTCTTCCAGTGAGATTTTTACTTTTGTGCTTTTTTTTTGTTGTTGTTATTAGTGACATTTCAGCTTAAAGAAGTCTGTTTAATATTTTTCATAAGGCCTATTTAGTAGTGATGAATTCCCTTAGCTTTTGCTTGTCTTTAAAGCTCTTTATCTCTCCTTCAAATTTGAATGATAACCTTGCAGGATGTAGAGTATTCTCGGTTGGAAGGTTCTTCTTTCAGCACTTTGAATATGTCATGCCACCCTCATCTGGCTTGTCGGATTTCTGCTGAGAAAGCTGCTAGTAGCCTTAAGGGTTTTATTTTTATTTTTAAAAAATATTTTGTATGTAAGAATTTGTTTTTCTCTTGCTTTTAAGATGCTTTAATTTTTGACATTTTAATGATAATGTTTCTTGTCTTTGGGTTCATCTTACTTGAAACTCTCTGGCCTTCTACACTTGTATGTCTGTTTCCTTTCCCAGGTTAGGGAAGTCTTCAGCCTCTGTTTTTGCAGATATGTTTCCCGGCTCTTTCTTTCTTCTACTGGGACCCCTCTAACATGAATGTTATTCCACTTGATGTTGTTTCCAAGGTGTCTTAGTATCTTCATTCTTCTGAAATTCTGTTTCCTTTTTGCTGTTCGGTCTGGGTGAGTTCCACTGCTTTGTCTTCCCACTTGCTGGTTTCTTTTACCTCATCCATTTTGCTGTTGAGCCACTCTAGTCTATTTTTCATTTGAGTTGTTGTGTTCTTCACCTCTGTGACTTCCTTTTGGTACTTTCTTACCACCCTGTTTTGTTGTTGTTGAAGTTCTCACTGTGTTCATCTAGTCCCCACCCCCACCCCTTCCCCAAGTTCAGTGAACATCTTTATGCACATTCATTTGAATTCTTTATCAGGTAGATTACCTATCTCTGTATCCTTAAGGTCTTTTTCTGAGGTTTTGTTTTGTTCTTTTTTTATTTTTTAAAGAGTTTTATTTATTTGAGAGAGAGCGCGAGCGAGCACGAGCAGGGGGGAGGGGCAGAGGGAGAGTGAGAGGGAGAAGCAGACTCCCTTAGTCTTGTTCTTTTGTTTGGAGCACAGTTCTCTTCCTCATCTTGCTTGACTCTCTCTGTGTGTTTCTACGTGTTAGGCAGAACAACCACCTCTCTGTCTTGAAGGTGTGGCCTTTTGTATGTAGGTGGTGATTCTTGGTCACCCTTGCCCTTGTTCTTGGTTATCTCTTGAACTTTTGTGATTTTCTCAATCACCTGATTTATTCTGCATATGTCCCTATTGATAACGACCCTATATGAGTGCGTTCCAAGACCTGTCGGCGATCCAAGGATCCTCATTTAGCACCTAGTTTCAGGTGATGGGAAGCTAGACTCTCAGGCAGTAGCTTGTGAAGTATGTGAATATGTTTGGTCCCATGTTGCTGCAATAGTAACCCCTGCTGGCCTCTGGACCAGATCTAGAAGTATGCCCTGGACAACAGTTTTAAAAAAATCAGGGCGCCAGAAAAGCCCCTTTCTGGGCCAGTTTCCTCCAGCTGGAGTGAGGCAAAGTGTGTGCACCAAGATCCGTCTCCTTGCTCCTGTTCCCCAAGAGTGCTTTCTCAGCCTCTAGATAGATGGGAAACCTGAAGCCTGTCCCTCAGGCTGATGCTTTGGGTTAAGTATTTGGCCTTTTCACAGGCAGAATCGAGGTGTGTTTCAGTGTCTTGTCCGTGCAGTGCCCTGGGCGTGGTGGCCTGCCAGGAACTGTCTTTCTGTGTGTGAGCTTTCTGCGGAGCTTGCTAACAGTAGCCCTCTTGGGCCACCAGGGCCGGGTGATCAAGGGGCATCCCCTGTGTGGACCGGGTGGACCCACTTGCTTGAGCAAGGCAGCCAGAGTGGAGGGGGTGGGCTTGTTTGCTGGCTTTGGAAAGACTGCAGGAAAACGGTGTGACCGCCTGTGCCCTTGGGCTTCGGCAGCGCGGTGGGAGAGCAACCCCCGTCTGCACCCATGTGCCAGCTCTGGGGGTCGGGCCCGTGGCAGCCACCTGCACTAGCAGATTCTAGCTCTGGAAGGCGAGAACTCCGTGACCGCTGTGCGTGGGTCCCAGCCAGGGAACGCTGCCACCGCCGGCACTGTCCGACTCAGCAGGTGCCGTGACCGCACTTGCTCTTGTCCGTCCCAGCAAGGTGGGTGGAGGGTGGGTGCCCGGGCCACTTCGCCTGCTCGTGCTGGCGGTCTGCGTGCGGCCCAACAGTGGTAGCTACCCCTGGGGCCCCCGTCACCAGGGAGCTTCTCAGCTGCCCCTGCTCCTCCAGCTGGTGTCTCCAGATCAGCAAATAAATCGATCTGACATAGTGTAGGCACTTTGCAAACTGTTTTTTTTTTTTTTTTTACTGGAGCTCAGGTCAAGCCCTGGGTTGGGGGGAGCCGGGGGGAGCAGGGAAGCTCAGTTTATTAGAGCATTTCAGGACCCCTGGTTTTGCCAGTCACGTGTTCTGGAGGCTCCTCTCTCTCCAGTGCAGATCCCAGGCTCTGGGGTGCCAGATGCCCCTGGCAGAAGCACCTGTCTGGGGACGCCCTTCCCTGTTGTGTGTCTTTGTCCCCGGGGTGGGGTTTTTTCTGCAAGACCCTGTTTCTACCCCTCCTAGGCATCTCAGGGTGGTCCTTCTGTCCATTGTTGTGGAAAGCAGTTCCTCTAGTTTTCAGATCTTTTTCAGAGGGAACGGATCCATAGGTAGCTGTGGATTGGGTGTGTCTGTGGAGTTCTGATCTCACTATGCCACCAGCTTGGACCCTCCCTCTCTCTGTATTTGGCCCATTTTTAAATTGGTTGTTAGTTTTCAATAATTATTATTGAGTTTTAAGAATTCTTTGTATATTTTGGACAATAGTCCTTTATCGGATGGGTTCTTTGCAAATATTTTCTCCAAGTCCCTGGCTTGTCTTTTAATTCTCTGGATGTTTTCTTTCACAGAGCAGAAGACTTTAAGGAAATCAAGCTTATGAATTATTTTCGCAGATCATGTCTTTGGTGTTGCATCTAAAAAGGCATCACCATACCAAAGGTCAAAGAGGTTTTCTCCTATGTGACCTTCTGAGAATTTTATAGTTTTGCATTTTCTATCTAGGTCTGTGATCCATCTTGAGTTAATTTTTTGGGATGAGTGTGAGGTATGTGTCTAGGTGTGTGTGTGTGTATTTTTCATGTGGATGTCCAAATGTTCCAGCAGCATTTGTTGACAAGACTGTTTTTTGCTCCCTTGTTTTGCCTTTGCTCTTTTGTCAAAGGTCAGTTGACTATTTGTGGGGGTCTATTTCTGGGCTCTCTGTTATATTCTCTTGGTCCATTTGACTCATCTTCGACCCACACCACACTTAGACATCTTTTTTAAAAAGTAACACAGCAGGTAAGCTTTGCCCTGGCTTATGGTACGACCTCAAGTAGGTTTCTCCTCTCTGAGCTTCAGGTCTAGTATGGGGAGCTAAATCTCTAGCACTTCCTAACGTGTATGCTTCTCAGACCTGGTGAAGGCCTAGTTTTTCCAGTTTACAGTCTGTTGCAGACTGTTAATTTTTATAAAATACAGTCAGACCACTTACCAGAAGAATGATCATGTGCTTGCTTATATGGTTGTAGTGACATCAAATTGCTGTACATGTTCCTAACCGCTCCCTCAGCTTCTGAACTTAACCTTTGTGATGGATGGCTGGGGCTGGGGGCGGGGGCACACTTTGGTAACGCTGTTCTGCACACTGGGCTCAGGTTGGAAAGATGTCTGGCCTGGCCGCCTAGTGCTGCTTGTGAGAACAGGGCCTAAGATGAGGCCTGGGGATTGGCTGGTTCCAAGGCAACGTGGGTGTCAGCAGGGGCTTCTTCCCCTCTCCAGCAGGATCAGACTCCATTGTTGGGAGCCTGTCTGTTCACCCCCCCCGCGCCCCCCCATGTCCTCTTTGTGCCGCACACTCCTCACATTGACCCCCGCCTCCCTCATTCGAAGGCAGGGGAACCACTCAGGTGGGCTTAGGGCCATGGTGCGGGGGCCCTGAGAAGGGGCTGTGAGAGCGAACTTGGAGGGGTCAGGTTGAAGCAAGACCTGCTGTGCTGGGTGGGTGCAAACAGCTGCAGTGGCTGGGGATGATACTAGCGCAGACTGGCACATGCCAGAGAGTTCCAGCCTCACCGCTCTGAGGACGTAGGATCTCAGCACATTGGAATCTTTGAGTCTCAGGGTCATGGGCTCTCTGAACTGGAAGGAGCTGCAGGGCTCACTTCGTTGTCCAGGCTGGGTTGTTCACCTGTGCTTCTTCCCTAGCCTAGGCCTGAGCTTTAAGCGTCCGCTCTGCCTTGAGGCTGGATGCCCTCGTTCCCAGTGCTGCAGGTGAGTAGAGGCTCCTTGGATGCCCTTGGCTTACCCTGGATGCTTTTGCTTTATTTTGAAGCTTCAGACACTGTGTGCTCAGATTGACTGAGAACAACTCCCAGCCCCTGATGACCAAGCTGCAGTGGCTCTTCGCCTTCCTGGAGCACAGCCAGGTGAGTGCAGGGGGAGTTGGGCGTGATGGAGGGAGGCTCTGGGCTGACACCCTTCCCTGCATCTGGCTACAAGGCCCTACTTCCTGGTGTAAGCTGTTGAGGCTGGTTTGGGTTCATGGTCGTTTAGTCCCTGAGGGCTGTGTTTGTTTTGCTCATTGTCTCTGCCCTCATGGAACCTAAAACCCTTGGCCAAGCATTATGCAAGGCCCTGCGGGGGCCACGAAAAGGAGGAAGCCACAGTTCTTGCTCTCGTGGAGTTCATAGTCTGGTGGGGAGGGTGGACCTGCAAATAACAGTTGTAATGCTTGAACGGAGGGAAATGCAGTGTTGTGTGCATGCAAGGGAGGGAAAAGCTGATTATGGTGGGGGAAGGGACCACTGGGAAGACATCACGGAACAGATGTCCGTGCATCTGGGTCTTGAACTCTGTAAGCTTTTGATGGAGGAAAGGTGTTTTAGGCAGAAGGAATGGCAATGAATAAGGGTCTTGAAAGAAATAGATGTGTTGGGGAAGAGCAAATTCCTAGAGGATTGGTTCATCTCCACGAACCTAAGGCCATGCTCATGGGCTGCATGCACTTGGTGGGAGAGGATGGGTCAGGGACAGTGAGGAATGGGGAGGACTTTAGAGAGGAGGCCAGGAAGTTTGGGACAGAATCCCCAGGTACCCTTTAGGCCTAGCACGTGGCAGAGCTGGTTAGTGAGTGGCCTCCTGCTCCTGACCCTGCCTTTCACCTGCCTTGGTCCTAGCGGCCTGCCATCTCTCCAGAGAACTTCCTCTCTGCATCCTGGACACCCTGGTTCAGCCCCGGCACCCAGCAGGACTGCTCAGAGTACCTGAAGTATCTGCTGGATCGGTAAGGGGGCCAGACCTGGCTCCGCGTGGGGGCCTTGGAGCCGGAGGAGGGTGCCCGAGGAATAGCCCAGCTCCCTGGCTTGCCGCACTGCACTCGGCGGAAGGCGTGGTGATGGTTGCCGTGAGGGGTGGGCAGGGCTGCGTGTGAGGGACGTTTGGGAGCTGCCGATCGGAGCCGTGACTGGGGAGGGGTCAGTGCGAGCGAACGCACGTGCTCTGCTTGCCGAGCATGCGTGTGTGCGTGTTCGGCACAGCGCTGGAGGCACGCTCATGTGGAGGCGGCACATCTCTCCGGGGCGGGTTTGTGTGCCTATCTGGAGGGAAGTGTGTGGCACGTGTGCTTGGCTCGTGAGTGCATGTGCGTGGATGTCATTGGCACGTGTGTGTGTAGACTCCGTGCGGACCTGCGCACACGTCTAAACGGGTGGGTCCTAGATAAGGGAGATGGCCCAGACCAGGCCCGAGCGCCGAGAATGGATCTGTGTGTGTGTGAAATCCCTGTGCTCTCGGCTCCAGGCTACACGAAGAGGAGAAAACGGGGACAAGGATCTGCCAAAAACTCAAGCAGTCCAGCTTGCCCTCCCCTCCCGAGGAGCCCCCCGGCCCGAGTCCCACCTCCGTGGAGAAGATGTTCGGAGGCAAGATCGTGACTCGGATACGCTGTCTCCGCTGCCTCAATGTCTCCTCCAGGGAGGAGGCCTTCACGGACCTCTCTCTTGCTTTCCCCCCCACTGAGCGCTGTCGCCGCCGCCGCCTGGGCTCAGTGATGCTCCCCGCAGAGGACATCGGGGGCCGGGACCCCCCCCCACCCTCCCGAGCCCAGGTTCCAAGCAGGGTGGGTCCTCGGAGGCAGAGGAAACACTGTGTCACTGGGGACGCGCCCCCCTCCGTCCTGGACATTGAAGGCCTGGGCCCCCAGGGAGCTGGCGGGCAGAGCAGTGGGGAGGAGGAGGTGGAGAGGGAGGAGGAAGCACAGGAGGAGGAACGGCCCCGAGAGGGGGAGGGGGAGGGGGAGGGGGAGGGGGGCAGAGAGAAAGAGGAGGGGGAGGAAGAAAAGACGGAGAAGGAGAAGGAGGCCGAGCCAACGGAGAAGGAAGAGGACAGCCCGGGGCCAGGGACCCACTGGGGTGGCGCCACCCCCGCTGGGGAGGGCTCCCGCTCCGTGCTGGACCTGGTCAACTACTTCCTGTCCCCCGAGAGGCTGACGGCCGAGAACCGCTACCACTGCGAGCCCTGTGCCTCGCTGCAGGACGCCGAGAAGGCGGTGGAGCTGAGCCAGGGGCCGCGCTACCTCATCCTCACCCTGCTGCGCTTCTCCTTCGACCTGCGCACCATGCGCCGCCGCAAGATCCTGGACGACGTCTCCGTGCCCTTGCTGCTGCGCCTGCCGCTGGCCGGGGGCCGGGGCCAGGCCTACGACCTCTGCAGCGTCGTCGTGCACTCCGGCCTGTCCTCGGAGAGCGGCCACTACTACTGCTACGCCCGCGAGGGCGCCGCCCGCCCGGCCCCGTGTGTGGCTGCTGCCGACAGGCCCGAGCCCGAGAACCAGTGGTACCTGTTCAACGACACTCGGGTGTCCTTCTCCTCCTTCGAGTCTGTCAGCAATGTCACCTCCTTCTTCCCCAAGGACACGGCCTATGTGCTCTTTTACCGGCAGCGGCCCGGGGAGGCGCCCGAGGCCGAGCTGGGCTCTCCCAGAGGCCGGACGGAGCCCACCCTCCACAAAGATCTGATGGAGGCCATTTCCAAAGACAACATCCTTTACCTGCAGGTGAGCGGCCCCCTCCCCCCCCACCCCGGGGCCTCTGAGCTGATCTCCTGGGTGGAGGGCTTCCCTGCACAGCCACCAGCTTAGAGGGGGTTCTGCTCCGTCTCCTCCTTTCCCTGCTGCCCTGTCACTGATCCCTTCATGCTGGAAAGATACTGGTGGGCCAGCCAGAACCGCTTACTTCAGAGGCGCAGGCGTTCAGTAATCACCAGTTGTTTACCAACGCTTGTCCTCAGTGTGCGAAGGAGCACCATGGCGTTGTGCGGTGGAAAGTCGAGGCTTCCAGGGGCACCTGGGGACCACGCTGCCCGTATCCTGTCACGTGCCTTCGACTCCCCTCTTTACAGTCTGGGCTGGTATCAGAATACTTAGCAGCAGGAACAGCAGAGGCCACGAACCACCAGAGTAGTACCCCGGGGGCCCCTGTGTGGGGGCACCGAGCCAGCTTTTAGGTCTCTGCTGGGCCTTGCGGGCGGAGGCAGGGCCGTGGGGGAGGAGCGTCTGTGCGGAGGCCTCCGTTCAGCCCGAGGAGGCCCGTTCCTTGTGCCTGGAGGGGCAGTGAGCTGGCCAGCCGTGTCAGGACAGCGGGGGGGGGGGGACCCTGTGTGGTGTGACGTGGTCCTTGGGAGTCCCTGCACCTCCTTCTCCCTGGGGCCACGGCAGGCCCGCATCAGCTACTCAGCCTTGTGTGAAGGAGTTCCTTTTTTCCAAGGGGCTAGGGGTTTTTACTGGGAGAAGAGCGGTTTTGAAGCCTAGACCGAGGGTGGGAGGGTGGATCCATCCCTCCCATCCTCCCGCGGAGCTGGAGCATCCTGCGGGCGGGAGCCGAGGCTTCTCGGTGCTTGGCCCCTGGGCACCTCGGAGACACTCAGAAATGCTGTGCCGGATGGCCCTGGGGTGGGGCTGGGGGGACAGGGATGGAAAACTGTGGCTTCAGAGCCTGAATTTTAAGCCTCCTTCCCCACCTGCATGTGCGTTCCCAGGAGCAGGAGAAGGAGGCCCGGAGCAGGGCGGCCTATATCTCTGCGCTCCCCGCGTCTCCGCGCTGGGGCAGGGGCTTCGATGAGGACAAGGACGAGGACGAAGGCTCTCCGGGAGGCTGCAGTCCTGCGGGCGGCAGTGGCGGGGACTTCCACAGACTGGTCTTCTAACGGGGGCCCGGCCCTGGGCTGCTCCCGCCTGCGGGGGGCACCAGAGCCCACAGGGGAGGCCTTGACCCTTTCTTCCTGGGAACTGGGTCGGGACCGAGGCCGAGGTGCCCTGCCCGGTGGGGGCTGAGGGAGGCTGTGGAGGCAGGGTCAGCCCCGGAGACGGGGGCCCTTCCAGGGGCAGGAAAGGTGGAGAGGAAGCTTCTGGGACACCCCGGTCCTCAGCCTGAAGGGTGTGCAGAGACTCAGATACAGAGGTGAGAGCCGAGCCCCTGACACTGGGTCTCAGGCCCCGACACTCGGATCAGCCCCATTCAGATTTCTCACCCAAGTGTCCTGGTCGACTTGAAGCAGCTTAGATGGACACTCTCTGGGCCTTGTCCCGCCCCCCCCCCCCCAGCAGGCTACGTGACGGGGCTGATTCACAGCTCTAGTGCTTTGCCATCAAGTAGCATTTCCCTCCTCGCTCCTTTCAGACAATCCTATTGCTCTATAGTATAGGCAGCAGAGCAGGATCTGGGGCCTGTGCGTCCTACCTGCGGCCCCCTTCTAGGCTCTCTGAGGGGTTTCGGAGGCACGGTATGTGGTTGCCTGCACCCTTGGAACATCGAGGGGCGTGTAGGTGGGAAGCAGCCTGGCACGGGGTCAGAGACTATCTGTGCAGAGAGGGGAGGACAGCCCCCCTCCCCCCCCCACAGCGGGAGACCCTTAATCCCCAAACCCCATCTCCCCTAGCCTGCCTCAGTGCCTGAGATGCCACCATTTGCATCCCCTTTCTGGTTGAGAGAGAGAGAGAGAATCCTTATTTTACTGCAACTATGTCTGTGTTTCTCATGAAGCCATCGTCCGACCTGAGGAAAGCTGGCTGGCTTGGCGGCTCCTCTGTGGCATTCAAGCCGTGGCCTGGGGGCTGGCGGGGGGGGAGGTTTGGTGAGGAGCAGCTGTTGACCTCATTGTGCCCTGACAACGCTGTACCCTTCCATATGGAGAGGAGAGACGCAAACAGGAATAAAAATAGGTTCTCTGAAGCCTTTAAAGGTGTCAATTCTTTCTGCCTCCGTGGCTGTGATGGCGGCCGTGCCCTTTGTTTCTTGCTGTGTCTGGGCTGTGAGGAGGGTACAGCCTGTGACCTGTTGGCTTGTGTGACGCCCCACGGGAGGTGACAGTGTGCCACGCTGAAGCGCTTGCAAGTGAAAGGTGAGGACTGGGAAGACCCCGAGGGCAGAGCTGGGACCAGCAGTGGGGCCGTTCCCCAGTGGCCGGTGCCGGCAGAGGGGAGGACAGGCTCGTTACCCTGCGAGGCAGGTACCCAGACTCCGGGCTGCCCGAGGACATCCTGTCGGGGGGACTCGCCTGTCGGGTGAAGCCAGAGCCCCCGTATCTGGGGATTTTTCAGACGCCGAGGACCCCAGACTGCCCAGGACTCGCTACCACTGCTCCCTCATTCTTCCCCCCCCCCCCCGCCCTTCCCTGGGAGAACCTGGTGCCAGTGTGCAGCCCCTCCTGGGACGGACTCGGGCACCTGCCAGGAGGAAAGCGGGGGGAGGCAGCCCCCCCTCTCCCCAGGTGCCAGTCCCTTCTTGGGAGCTGGAGAGGTCACACGGGAACCCTTTCCACCCCAACCCTGCCCATCTGGGGGAACAAAGTAGGTGGGAAGGCAGGGACAGAGGCTGCGGTGTGGCCCAGGGCTGCGAGGGCCGCCTGCCGGTGTTGTAGGTGGAGGAGTTGTTGAGTTTTGGCCCAAGCGTCCCAGACCCTTGGGACATCAGACCTTAGGGATCAGCGACACTGGGCTGGTAGTCTCAAGAGTTCATCTCTACACTCTGTGCACCTTCTAAGGCGAAAGGGTAGAATCAGGAACACACATTCCGAGGTAAGGAGGATTCATTCCTGTTCCCGGTCAAGACAAGGGCCCCATTACTTCCTATTAAAATGAAAGGGAGCTGACTGGCACCGAGCGTCCTGGGGGCCCTGACAGAGATGTGTTTGGGCCTCCATGTGGGTGGCCCCCAGGCAGGGATTCTGTGCAGCAGGTGGGTTCCCTCCCCGGCGCCTTCAGACGAGGCAGGCTCCAGCAGCCTTCTCTGGTTGCTTCTAATGGACTTTATTGTTGTCCTGCTCCAACACCACAGTAAAAAGGGCCCTGCAAGCTTCAGGCCTGTGCCGTGTGTCACCACAGCAAAAACAGGACCCACCGGAACATGTTCCCACCCCACCCCAGACCTACTCACAGGATAAATACATGTTACACTTTTTTTTTTTTAAAGAAAACAGAATAAATTAATAACTTAAGTGATTAGGCACCAACAGTGATTTGAAAAATTAAATGTCAATTTTAAATGGTATAACAGGGCAAGAACCTAAGACTGGGCTCCTAGCCCCTTTTCTCTTCCCGACGGACAATTCTGTGCGAAATGATTCTAAATTTCAAGACACGTGTAACCAACACACAAGAATACACACCACCAACTATCACAGGACAGCCTGCACCTCGAGGGGGCCCCTCCGCAGGCAGCCCAGGGAGCTTGGAAAGTCCCAGAATGTTGGCTCCCGGGGGAGGGCGCTGCAGTGCTCCTGGGCCCAGCCTCGCTGCCCTCACGGGTTGTGGACGAGCGCGAACTGCATCCAGAGCTCTTGTCAGAAGGGTGTGGGGAGGGTGGGTCAGCCAGGGCTTGGGGCAAGCCCTTGCTCCACTCACTCCAGAAGGGGAAGGGTTGTGCTTCTCTCCTAGGAATGGGGCGTATTTGAAGGGTTTCAAATGTAGAAGTCTCCAAAGTCCATCCTGGGGAAGGGACCGGGCTACCTGACTAATGCTCTGGGTGCTGCCCATCCCTAGTGAGCCAGGCCCTCCACAGAGGACTCAGCTTCAGCATGGAAGGGCCTCAGCCACCATCTAATCGAACCACCCTTTCACAGGTGGTGGCTCCCTGGGACCTTGCTTTGCCCATCTCCCTGGAAGCCTCCCTCCCTCACTGCTGCTTGGTCCTGCTGGCCCAGGCACCGTGAGTCTTGGGTCTGCCCTTGCCAGGCCACTGAACTGCCAGGTGTGTACTAGACAGCGGTCATTTGAAGCCCGTGAGCCCAAGTCTCTACCTTCAACAGGCTTGTGTCCTCTTAACACTTCCTTGTCTCCACCGCCACCCTGAGGGCTTGGGAGCTGCAGGAACCAAGAGCTGGAAGGAGGCGTCCTTGGACATTAGAGTAGAACACTGTTTCATTCACCTCGTGCTGACACACTCAGCACACACACGGGCTGGGGGCACAGGGCAGCACCTCGCAAAGCTCGGCCCTACGAGACCCTGCAGAGAGCCTTAAAGGGACCCAGTGTCAGCCACTGCCATCAGCCCCAGCGCTCTAGGGTGACTGGACCCCAGCCCTGCCCTCCTGCCCTAGAAAACTGCTCCATCTTCCTGCCCCTCAAGCCCACCTCAGCACCACCCCCCTTTTCCCAGATACCACCTTCCTCTGATCTGCACCAACCTCCTGAAGCAGCAGCCTCGCTTCCAGTCTCTCTCCTGGCCCTTACCTATGTCCCGTGCCCTTGTGTCTCCCCCCACCCCTGCCTCCAGCGCATGGACAAACTGGTTAATTCCCGCGGTCCCAGAATCAATGCTCGCCTAGTTGAACTGCTAGGAGAGGGGCTACTGTGGAGAAAATCCTCCCGACCGGAGCGGGCCTTCTGAGACTGTGGCCAGGTATGTGCTCGTGGGAGCCCAAAGGTGAGCTGTAGCCACCACCTCCGTCAGCCATAGTGGCAAGTATTTTTTTTCCAAGGGAAGGTGGTCTGTTACCCCAGGGTGGGATGAGACCTCTGCCAACCCTGGACGGTTTGGGCAAGAGCCATCAACACAAAAGATTCGGATCTCTCCTCCCCAGCTTAGGACAAAGTGCCTGGTGGGGGCGGGCACAGCTCGTGGGATGGCCTTCCAAAGCCACGGGAGCAGAGGCCTGGCCTCTCCTGTCCCAGGGATCAGGTCTGAGGTTAACGTGACTCGTGACTCGGGGCTTCCAGGGAGCGGCCGCTGGAAGATGAGCGGGGCAAACAGCAGGGGCTCCGGCGACCACACTCCTAGCGGCCTGGGCCCCGGCCGGAAGCGCCAGCCCTCCCCCGCACTGCTTTCCCCACGTCCCTCACAGGGCTCCTTCACTTCTGCTCAGGCCTGCAGCCCCAGGCGCTGCCCCGGCTTGACCCCCCGGCCCCCACCTGCCCCTGGCCGCACTGTCTGCCTCCAAGGTCTGTACCCGGCCTCTCAGCCCCTCAGTTATCTGCCAGCCACCCCCCCCCCCCCCCCCCCCCCCCCCGCCGCCTGTCTTGCAGACACACACTTGCTGCACCCTCCCCACCACGGCACCTCCCGTCCGCCCCACGCTCCCTCCCCACCCTGCACTGCCTTCCCTCAGCACCAGCCTCCACCCGCGCCCTGCAGCACCCTGCACCGTGCCCTCTGGCGGGGTGTGCCCCCGGAGGAGGGCCCCGACCCCACGGGATCCTGGCCACCCGCTGCTCCCGGTTTGTGGTTGCCCATCCTCTGTTTTCCCTCCCTCGTGTCCTCCTTCCTCCTTCTGCCTCTCCCAACCCAGCACAGCCACACCGTGGCAGGGCCACTGCCCAGATCACCTGCCTTCTGCCATCGGGGACCTCCTTCCTGTGTCCCTCAAGACCACCGCTACCCTTCCTTCTCAACTCCATCTTCTGGGGCGCCATGCCTCTCTACCAACAAAGACAAGGACGAAGAGGTCCCTGGCCACTCTGGTCTGCTGGTCCTGGGCTCCCTGGATCAGGACTGAAGGAGACGTAGCCCAGGAGCTGGAGGGAAGAGGGCTTGAGGGCAACGCCCGGAAGTGAGGTGTGGAATCTGGCTCAGAGCCCCAGCCCCTCCCAAAGCCTAGTAGATATTCGGGTCTAAAGGGCAGGAAGAGGCTGAAGGATGCTTTTTGGCAATAGCTCTAACGAAGGTGGGTAAAGGCATGGCCGTTACTGATACAAATCAAAGGTGGGCCCCGAGTGGGCAGAGGAAGGGCCTCCATCAGGCCCTTACCTCTCAGGAGAAGGGTTCAGGGTCCCTGACATCAAGTGCTTTGAAGGCCAGAGTGGCAGGAGGGGGCACTGGGAGAGGAGACAATGTGTGTGTGGGGGACCGAGGGGGAGGAGCCAGCTCTGGAGATGCCGCCTCCGGGCACCTCCCCAGGCGTGGTGGCCCCTGCGTCACAGCTTAGCGCCTTTGGAAGGCTCCGAGGACTGCCGCACATCTGTCCACTCCTGCATGGTGTTCTGCAGGGCCTGGGTTTTCTCCTTGTCCACTTGAACGTAGTCCACCTTCTCATCGGAAGTGACAGATGACGTGGATGGCTGAGGACAGAACGGGCAGGTGGCTGTGAGTTATCCGTATGGTGGGGAGCAGGGGTGGGGGGCTCTTTCTGAGCTGCCTCAAGGGTAGCTGGGCCTCTGCTGCCACTCGGACCAGCCTCAGGGGCCTGTATTGTTTCTGAAAGGGGCCTTTAAAACCCAAACTGCATCATCTCTCCTGTTCTGCAACAGCCTGGGTCAGCACTCCTGATTTCCCAGGCCTTCATCTCTGCCTCCACCCACCTACGTGGGAAGGGATTTGCCAGGTGCCAGGGAACACTGGCAGCCACCCTACTGTCTGGACTGGGCAGCTGAGTGTGCTTCCTGGGGAGGCTTTCCGGGGCCGGGGAGTCCCTTCTGCAGGTCCCTGTACCAAGGGCAGTGGATGCACCTAGACACTGAGTTCTCCAAGAGAAGGTCAGGACCAGGACACAGGATCCCTGAGGCTCGGCTCTGTCTGTCATTCAGTGTGCATCCATTTGCTCATCGGTACAAGGGGGATGGACTGGCTGAGAAGGTCGGACAGACCTTGAGCACCTGTGCGTTCAGAGAGGGGGCGTGCGAGCCCCCTAAGACCCAGACTAAAGGAAAAGCAGTCAAGCAGTATGAGGCTGAGTGCTGGGACACCCCGGTACCTTGCGGTGGGGGCTGGGGGAGCTCGGCTGGAAGTCCAGGGCCAGATAATCAACGCTGCCCGTGCTCTTCTTCGGGGCGGGACTGTTGGTGCCACTGGGAATGGGAGACGCAGACACTGGATTTTGCTATCACAAAGGAGGGAAAAACCATTAGTAAGTGGAGGAAACAGACTAACACACCACCCGGGAAAACCCACACCTCTGGGCGTCTCATGTCCTCATTTAAACCTTCATAACCGTCCTGTGATGTAGGTATTCTTACTATTCTTGTTGTTTAAAATAAAGATAAAACTGTAGTTCAGAGAGGTGGCCTGACTTGGCTGGGGCTGTACGGCTGGCGAGCGGGGATGGGAACCGGCTCTGTCACCCGGCTCCCGGACCTGCACTCGCCCCGCTGTACCGGCCGGCCGGGTCTCCCCCACTGGCTCCCTGACAGACCCCCGTGGTTGCCTGCTGGCCCCCAACAGGGTGCCCCTCTCCTTTACGCCCTGGATGTTGGAAAGCCTTCAGTGGCACCCAGGCTGCTTCTCTGAATCTCCCAGCCCCGGCCCCTCCTCCCCAGGCTCCTGCAGCCGCCCTTCGACGAAGACACTCTAGGCTCCTGTCTCCGTCCAGGCACCAAGACCAACTTGTCTAGGATTTTCCTGAAGTCTTATTTTTTTTTTTAAAGATTTTATTTATTTATTGACAGACAGAGATATAGCAAGAGAGGGAACACAAGCAGGGGAGGTGGGAGAGGGAGAAGCAGGCTTCCCGCGGAGCAGGGAGCCCGATGCAGGGCTCGATCCCAGGACTCTGGGATCATGACCTGAGCCGAAGGCAGACGCTTAAGACTGAGCCACCCAGGCGCCCCCTGAAGTCTTATTCTAATGAGAATGGCAACAGTCCTATGTTCTGTTTCTTGGCTGCTGATTGGTTGATGCGTTCTTTCACTACTGATGCAGCAGCTACAGGTGCTGGGCAGCTACTCCCTTTCCAATGAAAATGTCAGGGAGGAAGCTTCTCGTGCTGACCCTGTTTAGATCTCTGGCCTGGCCTTTGCCACCGTACGTCATGGTACACGTGTGCCCCCTCCGCTGAGGAGATAATAAATGCTTACGCTCGCATTCTCGCTTCTGCTCATGGGAACAGCATAGTAAGGAATGAAGAGTTCTTGACTTTTGAAAGATTTTAACAGGACAGAAGAAGGAAGTCAACTCTGAAGGCTGCCCTAGTCATTCTCTGTAGGCTCCCAGGGACAGTGCTGACGCACCGGGCCCTTTAAACCTTCTGGGGCTCCTGTGGCCCACAGGGAAAGCCCAGACTTGCCCGGACAGCGTTCGGGGTCATTCATGAGCTGGATCCAGCCCAACCTCCGCCCAGAGCCGCAGTTAAGCGCTCTCCTCCTCCTCCGTGTCCCCACAGCGCCTCCTCTCCACCCACGTCCCAGTCGGCCTCCCCGAGGGCAGGGCCCCCGTGACCCCACTGCGCACAGGAAGGATGGGGGCAGCAAAGGCGGGGCCCGCAGGGGGCCCGGGCCCCCGGGCAGGAGTCGCCTCCACGGAGTGCAGACGACTCACCATGGGGACGTAGTTCTCTTCGCTGTCCCCCGAGTCCGTGCTGGTGATGCTCTGGGTGGAGATGGGGCGGCAGTACTGGGAGGAGCCGCAGTTGAAGGTGTGGCTGTGGAGGGGAGAGGACCGTGACCTAGGGAAGCACTCAGGCTCCTCGCCCCAGACCCCGCCCTCCATTAGCAGAGGAAGGTCTGATACAGGGAAGGCGTGACGACCCCCCTTCACAGACGAGGAGACCAAGCCCCTCGAGACCGCTCGGCCACCACCGGCGTGAGCATCAGGATGCAGCTCCCGACTCAGCCCTCACAGCCCTGCGCCAAGCGCCCACTTCCCCAGATGGACACTCACATGGCCCTAGACCAAGACTTGGTGACAGGTGACTTGAAGGGGAGCTCATCAATGACGGTGTTGTTTCTCAGGTCAAGTGGCGTTGGCTTTACTGGAGCAGGAACAGAAAGTCAAATGATCAGCCACTGATGATAATGGCGCACGTCCACACACGGCCACATAACACACAAGTACATTCACAGAGGCTTTCGCATTCCCGCTTTTACACAGGGAAACTGAGGCTCAGCAGTTTCTATGATCTTTGCCTATCTATGTTGCTAGGCCCTGAAGTCATGTCTTCAGATTCTGAATGATTATTTTCTTTGCAAGCATATTCTGGAGTAATCATATTTTCAGAATCCAAAATTGAGACACTGGGTCTGACAAGAGACTGTTCTCCCCAGACCTGTGGCTGTATATAAAAACAAGAGATGGTAACTGAGATGGAGGACGTCCCTGCCACTCGTGGACCAGGCTGTAGAGCCTGCAGGGGAGGAAGGCGAATGCACAAAGCCCTTAAAGGCTTCACTTCAAATGCTAAGGTCTGAATTCGCCGTTGACCAGACCAAGTTGGGGGGCCGGACTCGACTTCTCCCTCTGGATTCCTGCCACTGACCCCTGGCCGGCAGCCTGAGGGAGCAGAGGGCACGGATCTAGCCTTCCTGAACATCTGCTGCATACCAGACCCGGTGTCCTAGATGCTTTCCTCCGGAACACACCACTGTCCCCATTTCACAGCTAAGAAAACTGAGCTCAGAGAAACTGAAATGATTTACCCAAAGCCCCTCCCTAGGAAGTGCTGAATGGATTCCAACCCGCATGTAGGCGGTCGGAGCGCTCACGCCTTTCTCGTCCAGCAGACTGTATCTTGTAATAGACCACTCCGCCAGATCCAGGCCTCCTCCCGCATCCTCCAAAAGCAGGTTACACTTTACAAGGCACTTTTAGGCGTATTATCTGTGCTGCTCAGTGCTCTGCAAGTATTTACAGTTCTCAGATGAGAAACAAGGCTCAGACACACAGAATGATTTGCTTCTAATCCCAGGTGGCAGAGCCGGCACTGGAACGTGTCCTGTCCTGCTGGCACCCGCACCCCTGCCCATCCAGGCTGCTCTGGCAGCCGGTCCCTGGGCTGCTGGGCCACGGGAACAAATTTGAACATCTGTGTATGTGTGTGAGAGTTGGGGGTGGTTTAGGCCCCCAGAGGCTAACACTTCCTGGCAAGGAAACTTCAGGATCCACTCGATCCCTAAATGAACGCAAATAGTTCCTGGACACCGTCCAGAGACGGGATGGGGAGAGAGGAGACTCACTTTTCCGGTCAGGTTTGAGGTTGCGGTTGACGGGGGGTGGCTGGATCTCACTCCCTCGGCTGGGGCCTCGGTGCATAGAAAGGGCTGCTGAGGGGTAGCCAAGCGCCTCAAAGTGGTGGGGGCCTGGGCTCATGGGGATGTAGACACTCTGGGAGTTATCACTTGCCCGCTCCGTGGCCAGCAAGGTGGAGGACCCTGGATTCATGGGCACGTAGTTGTCCTCAGAATTGGAGCTCTCGGACCGGCCCACAGCGGTTTTCCCTGGCTAGGAGAGGGAGTGGAAGAAACAGGAAGGGAGTGAGAATCTGTATGCAAGGCGAGAAGAGTTATAACTGAGTTAGCTGCCCCGGGAAGCTAGTAAGGCAGGCCCTGGGGAAACCAAGCAGGAAGGCACAGTGGGAGGGGGAAAGCAACGAGGTCTGTGGGTCCCTTCTAGTTTCCATAATCCCTTGGGACCAACTGGAAATTTGTCACAATCCTCTGGTATCAAATACCCCTGGTGGCTGGGTGCACAAGGCTTTGTGGGGGCCTGACCACGCGGAGGGTGGCACAAGCCACGGAGTGTACAGGTTTGGTTTAGGACCTGCCCTTCATCTCAGGTCCACACTCCCCATTTGTGGGCCGGCATCTGAAGCCCGAGCAGGGCCAGGAGCCCCGGAGAAGCCTGGGCCTTGGCCAGTGAGGTCTGGGCCAGTGTGCTCCCCCAGGCCAGCTTGCAGGGTGACCACCAGCTGCAGTCGGAGCTGCCACCAAGGTGTACGATGCAGTCATCCTGGCCCCCACTCCTGCCAGGAGTCTCCTACCCCTGCCCCGCCTGTCCACACAGACAAGGAAGCTGCCTCTGCTTTGGTTACCCAGTTTTCATCATTTCAGTGGGCGCGACGCCAGGCCCTCGTCTGCCCGGCGAGCTGTGGTCAGCCCCCTGCAGAGGGCAGCCTAGGATCCTGCACTCAGACCATACTTCTGCCACCAAGCCGGCCTCTGAGCACCGCCCCTACCCTCAGTCCCACGCTGCAGCCCCTCCTCCTCCGGGTGGGGCCTCACGGACGAGCCTGCTGCCTCAGGTTCCCCATCCCAGAGCCCGGGGCCTCTGCATGCTAGACCTGTCCTACTGACCTGGAGGGCTCGCGAGCCTTGTGGTCTAGCTCCCTAAGTACACTCACTTCTTCCACACCAGACACCTGTATCTTACTTTCTGAAAACCCAACCCAGGCATCTGGACGGAGACAAGGAACAGGCAGGGCCCTAAGAGGGAGATGCCTTCACTCTTGTGAGCTGTACTTTTTGTTCCCTGGAGTGTGACCTGAACCCACCCGGGCAGGCCTGAGGACCCCTGGCTAACCCCCACTCACCGGGAAAGAACTGACCGCATCACTCATGGCCTCGGCAGCCCGGCCACTCTCTCCACCACGCTGCGGGTACTCGTAGGACTCACAGGAAGAAGCTACGAGAAAGGAAAGAAGATCCATGTGCTGACACTTCCCCAAACCCTCAGCCGCGTTGCTTGGGGTCTCACTGATACTCCAGAGGATACTACTCTCAAACCCAAGTGATAAGGTATTACTTCCATCCCATCATTCCTCAGTTCAAAAACTCCTGCTAGGCTTCTAGATCTAGCCCCAGCGTTGGCACCTCCAGAGGACCCCTCCTTACCTACTCCTTCCCTCAGGTACGCCCCTCTCTCTAACTCCTACGGCACTCAACTCCTGTCCCGCTCACCCCCGCCGTCACATCTATGAATACTGTACAAATAATGATACTGGACTAATTTGTACATGTTGGTTTTATTTCTCCAACAAATGTGAGCTCTCTGAAGGGTAGGGACATGTTTTATGTACGTCGGTTTCATTTCAATTCCAAAGCACAGGTGACCGATCCAACAGTTGATGGACTGAAATGGCACTGAGCCAAAACTCAGGATCCCAGGTCCAAGTCCCACCTCTGTCCCCGATTGAACTTACAACCCTGAATAAGTCTTCTAACTACCACGGGCCTCACGTGAAATGGAGACACTGAGGCTCTGTCCCACCACACTCTCAGGGTCACTACATGACTTAGACAAAAGGACGGATAGGAGCAGGCTTCACAAGCTATACACAATACAAAATGAAAGGAATCAATATGACTACACTTTTTCGTCACACAGAGGAAGCTTATTCAGGGTTGGAATATGCTCGGGAAATTAGTGACAATAAAATTTATACACTTCAGAGAGAAATCCAGATTTTAACCAAAGAGATTCATGTGTGGCTTAGAAAATATTTAGTAGCTCAGGGCGCCTGGGCGGCTCAGTCATTAGGCGTCTGCCTTCGGCTCAGGTCATGATCCCAGGGTCCTGGGATCGAGCCCCGCATCGGGCTCCCTGCTCCGCGGGAAGGAAGCCTGCTTCTCCCTCTCCCACTCCCCCTGCTTGTGTTCCCTCTCTTGCTGTGTCTCTCCCTGTCAAATAAATAAATAAATAAAATCTTTAAAAAAAAATTTAGTAGCTCAAAATTTGTTTTAATAGTCTCTTAGTCCACATAGGTTTGGCTCCAGTTTGAACTGGTCCTCTAAATTTATTTTTTCTGTCTTTGATTTATATAAAAATGAATCAAATACTATGATTTGGACTTCCAAACCCATAATAAGTTGTGTTGTGGTTAACCGAGAATGTTCCAGCTCCCTGAGTAGAACCGTAACCGCTCTCAAGCAGGGTCGGCTACACTCTTGCATTGCAGGCGTCCACGAATAGTCTCCAGTGCCGGAGGACCAGCCAGGAAGGGGTTTGGGTACAAGATCCCTAAACCTGTGAGTATCAGTGACCTAGGTGGGCCTTACATCTCCTCAGCATGGATGACCAAGGACTGGTGAATTACTGAGAACTCCCAAGCTACCTCCCTCTCCCCAGGGTCACAGCCAGGGATTATACCAACCTCGGTGCAGTCGGCTGTTGTCCATGGCTGGGAGGGTGTTGCGCCTGGGGATGGTGGCCGCGGCAGAGATGGATCTGCTGCTTTCGCTGATTGGAGGTCTCTGCTGAGGGCTGCCCCATCGAGGGGTTTCTGCCTGACTTGGTTTGGGTGGCCGGGGAGGAGGCGCGATGGCCGAGTCCCCAGGAGTGGCCACTGCCATGGCATTGTGGTTCTTGTCCAGCGTGAACGTCCTAGGGATCTGGTAGGCTGAGAGCGGGGTGGCTGGAACGTCCATATTGTCCACTAGGAGGTCCCCAAATTCCCGACACAGGGTGTTGCTGGGCGTCTTGAAGGTGTATATGTCCTCGTTATCAGTCTCAGAGCCTGTGAGGCTGCCCTTAGTGTGGCCGTGGGAGGCCAGGCTCCGGGGGAGGTCGTAGGTACTGTCTCTGAATTCCGTATTGTGCCGGCTTGGCTTGGGAAGGCTATAGAAGCCATGGACTTGACCACTGACCCCGTTGACACAGTGTCCGTTGCCCTGGGCAAGCTTCTGTACGGCTGTGTCGCTCCTCATGAGAAATGAGGCTCTGGAGCCCTGAGAGAAGCTGGCACTCCTAAGAGAGAGAGAAGGGAAGGGATGGGGCAGGGTAGAGGGGGCCAGGACTGCCCACCCAGGGAGGCAACCTGGCATGTTCAAAGCCCCATTCAGCTGGCTGGTAAACCAGGCTGAGGAGGCCGGCAGGCCTGAGGTGAATCCTTGTTTACTAGCTCTGTGCTTTGGCATGAGGAACTTTCTCCTTCTGAGCTTTGGTTAATGCATTTGCAAAAATGGTGATTAAAAACATATGACGAAGGTTGTTCAGACATTAGACTCCAGTAGATCTAATATACAGATGTTCAATCAATGTTAGCCTTTATCCTTGCCCTACCCCCAGATGGCTGTGATTAGCAGAGGTCACTCTTACCCCTCACCCCTCCAAATAAACACAGCAGCTATACCACCTGCCTGTTCATTGCTTTAAGTACCATAGAGTGTACACATGTGTATACGAAAGCTGTGAGACAATGGAAGGAACCCTTAAACTGGTGTCACACACTAGCAAACAGGTCATTTTACCCGCGTCTCCGTCTTCCCACTGTAAAACAAGTCCGCTAATGGCTGTGGAAGGGATATGTTACAAAGAACGGTTCAAATGGAAGCTATCAATGTATTTTCTATCAGGTATTATGGTTTGTTGAAAGGCATTTAGGGGGGAAATAGCTCTTTCCAGAAGACCAAAATTTTACAGGAAAAATGGTTTCCCATTTGGGAACTATATTATAGACAGAAAAAGTTTTGAGGATTACTGTTTTAAAATGTAGGTTTTTGGGAAATAAGGCAAGACTAAACAGTAAAAAAAAGATCCGGGAGTGGAAGGGTTTGTGTGAGCTCCACTCAGCCCCCACCCGAAGGCATGGCCTGGAGGGTCTCTGGCTCTCCAGGGTTCATCTGACTTTGAAGCTCATGAAGCCATCGGCCTAATGAACGTCATTTTCAAGCTGGATTCTGTGTTGTGTGGAGGTGGGCGGTGTGGGAAAGTGGAAGGTGAGGTTCAGAGCAAGTAGGGATCCACGTATCTCACGTTATGATTCTTCACAGGATTTCTAGATTGTTCTAGAACAATCCTTTAGAGTAGTGATTCTCAGCCTTCTGGAAGCTATAAGCTTCTTCAAGAATCTTATTCAAGGTTCTTGGCACTTCTGACCGGCATGAGGCAAATCTCGTATACATACAAATTTGCATGATATAGCTGGGGCGGTTGAGGCGCTCATAGCCCTCCTGAGGCCAATCCGCTGGAACTTTTGCCTCATACAAGCATATATGTAGCTCCTGGGGAGCTTGTTATTTATGGATGTGGCCACCAGATGGTGATAGAAAATAGGGCCCAGTAGTTTAGAAAGAGGAAGGGAAACAGGTGTCTAGGCCAGGCTCTCTTGTAAACTGTCATCCTTGACCACTGGGGAGTTTCATTTCACTCCCCAAACCTTCAGTGGCCCTTCTCTTCTAGGCTTCCGCGTTCTTTCTCCTTTTCTTTTCCATTTCACACACATAACCAAGCCAAGCACCATGGACCTAGATCACTGAACCTCTAGCCTTTTGATAATGGAGTGCGTGGAACAAAGGCTGGGGGGAGCCAATGGTAGATATAAGGTTGGATGTCCCCACTGAGATCTGTTCATTTAACAAACGTTTACTGATGTCCTATTTTCCACTGGGGCCGGGCATAGTGGATACACAGATGCCTCCTGCCCTGGGGGACATAGTGGTGGAGACGGTGACATGCATACCAATCATTATCAGCTCTTGACAGATTTATACTGACCCTCCCTGGTGGTGGTGGTACAGAATGTCAGGGGAGGCTTCTTCAAAGATCTTACCGTTCAGTGAGTCTCGAAATTGGCCAGGCAAAAGGCAAGAGAGGGAAAAAGGTGTTCTAGTTAGAGGCACAAAGAAGTAGAACATAGCCTAGCAAGGGAAAGGAACTGCAAGCTGCTCAGGCTGCAGCAAGCGTGTTAGGAGGCAGGGCTGAGAGGTGCAGGGGCCAGGCTGGAGTTGCTGGGAACAGGGTAGCCCCTGGAGGGTTTTAAGGCGGGATGGGGAGAACATCACAGGTGTCCTGCAGTAACCTTAAATACTGTTCCATGTTTCACATAATTTTATTCAAACCTTAACCTGATTCAGGAATGAATTCATCATCTTCTTCCTGACTCTCCTATCTTGGGAATGCACCAGTCACTCAAGCCAGAAACCCAGGAGTTACCCACATTATAATTTTTCACTCAAGAACCCCATCAGGTCCTACTGAATCCACCCCAGTTCAGGTCCTCCTGGTTTTCCTTCCGCATAAATGAAAGGGCTGGTAGCTAGTCTCCCTACCATCCGCCAGACCCCCTTGACGTCCTCCAGACATTTACTTTCCTGACTTGCCAGCTTATGCATTTCCAACACTGTGCCACTGCCTTTAGGACTAAGCTGTATTCTGGCTCTAATTCACCTCTCCAGTCTCTTCTCCCTGTTCCCCTCCCCACTCTTGGATCCACTCAGCCAAACTTCCCTTGTCCCCAGTGGGCCCTGTGCAGTTAAGCCTCTGGGCTTGGTTGCTTGTTCACGCTGTCTGAAAGGCTTCCTACTGCAACCTGGCAAAGCTCCTGCTCCCATTTATCCTTCTAACTCTGCACAAATGGCACATTTGTAAAAAAAGATTTTATCTGGGGCGCCTGGGTGGCTCAGTCGGTTAAGCATCTTCAGCTCAGGTCATGATCCCAGGGGCCTGGGATCGAGCCCCTTGTTGGGTTCCCTGCTCCGCAGGAAGCCTACTTCTCCCTCTCCCTGCTTGTGTTCCCTCTCTCGCTGTCTCTCTGTGTGTCAAATAAATAAAATCTTTAAAATAAAAAGATTTTATTTATTTGAGAGAGACAGAACGTGAGTGGGGGGCAGTAAGGCAAGAGGGAGAAGCAGGCTTCCCGCGGAGCAGGGAGCCCGATGCGGGGCTCGATCCCAGGACCCTGGGATCATGACCTGAGCTGAAGGCAGATGCTTAACGACTGAGCCACCCAGGTGTCCCGGCGCATATTTTAAAGCTGTTCCTTACCATCCTCTAACTCCAAGCATAAGCAATCACTGCTCAACCCTGACCTTGGAGCAGGTAGCAAGTGCTATCTGCGTTATGTACCACCGGTACTGGTCTCCTCCACCAGACTGCGATTTCCGACTGGACAAGCAGGCCCACGGGCTGACAGGGGCCTCCTGAAAGGAACACGGTACTGCGCCGGGCGCATCACATGCGAGGCTGTTCTGAACCCCCTTGCCTACCGCACGAGAAGAACAGCCCTGGCCTGTGCAGGGAGCTGCAGGCGGCAGAGGCAAGGCTGAGAGAGGCACCCCTTTGGGCCCGCAGCCCCCACCCCCTCCCCCCCACCGCGGCTGCGGCTGGGTGGCCTGCCGCCGCAGCTCTGCTCACGGCTTAACACCGCCCAAAAGCGCTCCCTTATCTTTCAGCAGTGCTCTCCTAGCTTTCCTCAGCACTTAATTTTGCAACAGTTCTTTGGCATTTTTCCATATAGTTTCACGTACCACACGACACCATGATTTCACTGTTTTCCACCCTGCTCCTAGTACCTTCATGAAGAGCCCAGTCTCATCTTTAATAGGTATGTTCCCATTTAAAGAAAGCGAATGCACACATGGTCCTAAGTGAATTAACCACCACTTAGTTCTGTCACTGGCGATCTTAAGAGGTCATGTGGACCATCCTTCTGCATTTCACCCTTCTCATAGGGGTCCTTCTGATGAGGGAAGAAAATGCAGAAAATGCTGTCTCACAATCTCTAAGAGGTGAGGTGATCTTTGCATCTCAGACCCTTCTGGCGGCAAGTGTGAGCCAGCCTTCTCATTGTGGTTACAGAGCAAAGTTACAGAGACGAAATAAATGAAACAAAAACTTGTATATTCTCAGCCTTTGGTCAATCAAAGCACCGGGTGAATGAGTCAGAGGTCTTAGTTAGAAATGATTAATCAAAGGCAAGTTCTCCATTGCCATTTCTCATTTTACTTTTCACCCGCCGTCTTTCTGCAGAATACTGCTGCAGGGTCAGTGATGCATTCATCTGGAATCCCATCACTTGAAATTTCAGCTCCCCCTCCCCCGCCCCCGACCCTTGCCCAGAAGCATGGCTTTCTGAGGCATGTGACTCACCACACTGTATCACCTGCTACAGGTTTAACAGCCTCCTGGAAATAGGGAGAGAGAGAAGGTCTAGAATCTGAAATGAGGCCCTAAAGGCTGGAGGGCAAAACTAAATCCAGGCAAGACAAAAAGGACTCTGCTTGTCTTGATGGGGTCAGTTCAAATACTCCTTGGTGATACTTACTACTTTGAGGACTTACTTTTGCTCAGTGGAAAAGCTAGATTTTGAGAAATGAAGTCATTTTAGCTGGAACGCATATCTGGTACTTGAAGGAAGAATAGTGGCTAAAACTGCAGTAAAAGATAAGTAATTCATAGTTTTATCTCTAAGGTGCTTAACTTATTGTACAGTATGTCAGGTTCCCCCACAAATGAAAAAAGGAATAAATAAAGGCTGGTTATGATTAGCCTCAGTAGATACTCTTTCACTATAGTAATCCAGACATATTTATGTCTATGCTAGGCAGAGATGAATGAGCTGCTTCTCTCTCCCAAATCCCCTCAGAAGGAACCCTTTGAGGGGTGCCTGGCTGACTCAGTCGGTGGAGCATGAGACTCTTGATCTTGGGGTTGTGAGTTCGAGTCCCACACGCTGGGTGTGGAGATTACTTAAAAATACAATTAAAAAAATAAAGATGCGACCCTATGAAATTATTTTGGAGGTTAAATGAGGTAACTAATGTGAGAGTGCTTTGTAAACTCTAAAGCATTATTTCTTTTTTCCAGAGCACCTAGTATGTAATGTGGATGTCAGAAGCAGGATAGCAGTATATCTGTCAATGTTTGGCACTGTCAGTCTTTTTTCTTTACCCATTCCCGTGGACATGAAGCAAAACTGCTCAGAGGTTTTCACATCTCCCTGGTGATTCTGCATCTTTTCACTTGCC